ACACACACACACACACACACACACACACACACACACACACACACACACACACACAGATTTCTGTCTCTATTTTCCCACTGTTGAATCAAGCAGTGGGAGTTTTATGGACCAAAGTTCCCACACTTGTTGGCTGCACCATGACTATGACTTCCAAAGTCAATGGGAAGAGACAGTGTGTATCATTTTGTGTGTCTTTCTTGTATGTATGTGTGGGTGTTTGTGCAAACCTCCCTTACACACACACACACACACACACACATATACCACCACCCATTGCCCCCTATAGCCTTTCTCATGGAAATTGGCAGGCAAAATTGTGTGAACCTATGACCTATAACTCTGCCTCTCACACTCACGCACATATAGGAGCTTGCACAAACACTCTCTCTCTCTCACACACACACATACACACACACACAGCTGTCTGTGCTATTTCTGACTACCCAGACTGTCGAGTCATCTGAGGACTGAGAAAGGGGGGAGGAATTAGCGAGCTCTTCTCTCTCTCTCTTCTTCCCTTTCTCCCTTTCTACTCTTTTCATCATTGATTTTTTTTTACATTTTCTTTTCTGGTTGCCTTCCTTCCTCCCTTTTTAAGCTTTTCAACCTCATATTTTCCATCTCCTTTGCTAATATATTTCATGTCCTGCCTTCTTTTCTGCCTCCCTTCACATTCCCTGCTTTATTCCTCACTCTTCAACTTCTTCCCTTCCACTCCCTCCTTCCTTCCCACCATATTTTCTTCCTCCCTGTCTTCCTTTCTCCTACCACCCCTCCCTCAATTCTCCTGCCCTCCCCACTCTCTCTCTCTGTCTGCACTCTCAGAGCCATCTGACTCGGCAATGACCGCTTGTGACCTTTAGTTGAATGCAGGAGGAGGAGGAGAAGGAGGCAGATAGACTGAGAGCAGGCAGCGGATGACAAATGAGCTAATTGCTTTAGATTAACCATGGAGTGTCTGCCTGCCTGCCAGGCTTACAGCCTCCTCCTGTCTAGACAACACCACAGAGGGAGGGAAGCGATCAGCAATCTCTCTCATGCAACAATTCTGAGAAGTGAAAATGTTTCTTTATCATTGCACAAGGAAAATTAAAGGAACTTCAAACGGCTATTTAGAATTGTTCTTCCTTGAAGATAAGGCACTGGGAAGACACAGGTCTGAACCTTGATCTTTCAAAAAGAAAATATGCTGAATTTTAGTGCAACACTGTAAATCCTGCATAATTCAACCTGACACCATTTTTTTTGTTTCAGTCCTGATAAACCAGAAAGCACCACAGACTTTCTGTTTAGTCTCTAAGCTGATGTAAGCTGTGCAATCAGACTCAGGATGAAATGAGAGATGTCAGGCTTTTATTTTGATGATCAGTTTTTACACAAACCATCTTTTTCTGAGATTATCTTTAATATGCTGCAAAATCTTTTTGGCATAATCTAATTCATAAAAACAAAAAATGAAATGTAACTCTCAACTGTTTTAAGTTCAGTCATAAAGTCAAACTTTGACTTCTTCAACTTTTCAGTTTTTTATCACTTTGAAAATATATGCACGTTTTAAAATCGTGCACTAATTTTCAGTGTCTGATCGCTACAATGTTGCAATGAAGCATAGCTAATAGGCCTAGAATAGCAAGACGTGCTGCTGCAGAAGCCTTGAGGCAAATAACAGCAAAACAACTAATGGAGACGAGTTGGAGATGCTTTTATTGCATTAAAATGATTAAAACAATTATACAATACAATTATATATTAGAAGGCATCTGTCATAGATTAAGGAAAGACGGCAGCTATGATAAACTCAAATGGCGTCATTAGAAAAAATATTCCTGCATAAAAGATATGGGGTCATAAATGAATCCTCTCAGTTATTTTGGTTGCTTGTCTAATCTGGCTGAAGGTTAAGCACCTGCACTGATTCAATTAGTCAGTCAACTGAAGATAATTTGAAACTGGATGAGCCATTTAAGTCATTTTTAATCACCATCACACATGTGACAATTTTTTTAGTAAACTGCAGATTAGAGCAAACAGGTGAGCTGAAAATATCGCCTTAACTATTCAAGGATTAAATAAAAATTCTTTTGCACAATACAGTTGCACCCCAGATGGCTAATGAATTAGTAAGAGATTTTTTTAGACTCCATTTGTGTGAAATACAATGAAGGTTAGGGGTAGAGAAGTCGTCTTTTGGATCACAGTCCACTGTCCATTATTTAAAGACAAAAAATAAAAGAGTTTGATGAAGTCAACAAGGGTAGCAGTGTCTTTTGAAATTTATCTGGGGCAGAGGGATTTCTTTGACTTATAACCTTAGCAATTGTCAATGCAGCGTGGGCTGAGGCTTAATAAACCCATGAATGCGGTTTTCTGTTTGCATTTGGCACAAATACTCGGCGGTGCACATTTTTGTCTGCCAGGAAGAAATCAAATACACTAAAGCTTGATCATTGTTTGCCTATTTGTTTTATATTTCTTTTCTTGTCTCTTTGAATGCACACATATGAGCATGTAGCTGAGATTTTGGAGCCTCTGCGGTTTGCACAAACCTGCTTTTTGTAGCATACCACAGAAACAGTGTTATTATGTATCTTCGCTGGAGCATGTTTTAGCCTCAAGGATGTTTTTCAGTGGTGCATCTGCACAACACATTTGCTTTAAAAATAATTTTGGCATACCAAAAAGGCTTCTGCGATTGAAAGAGAAGAGAAATAAGGATGAAGAATAAGATGACAGAGAGAAAAGAGAAGAAGAGGGAATGGGGAAAATGAGGTGGAATGGCTGCGCATTTTAAATCTCCACAGGGTGGGGGAAAAACATGCCCTAAATTCTGCAAAAAATAAAATAAAATCTCTCTGCAAATTTATGCACCTTAAAATGAGCGGCATAAGTGGATGAAAACAGAGTTAGCATGCAGAATGGAAGGAGTGAGCTAAACGCAGCATTATTGACACTGGAGAGAAAAGAGAGAATCAAAATAAGAGCGGAAAAGAAAGGGAAGGGAGGAGAGCTGCTGGCCTCACAGTTTTGGGAGCTCTGTGTTCAGGGGAACTGACAGAGTATGTGTTTATAGCAATAGTAGGAATTTTTTATTGAATGATGACGCATCAATTTGCAAAAGCTGAAAGGAAACAGGATAACAAACATTAAAACGTCAGCGAAAGGCACTCCAGAGTGGCTCAAACTTGTGCCTGTAAATGCAGCTTTCAAACATTCGGTCCACGGGCCAGAACCCCTGGTGTGGCGATGCCAAAATATTACAAGGGTGTGGAAATATCTGGAAGCTTAAAAGTATTTTTTTTTATCTCTACAAGTTGTCTAAACTGTAAAAAAGTAAAAAAACAAAAAAAAAACAAATCTGTAGTTCCAAAATACTTGTAGATCTACTTTAATCTATCATTTATAGTCTGCTCTTCATGTGTTTTGTAAAGAATGGTTTAATAAATGGGGTTTTACTTATTTAGACTAAAAGCAACGGAGAAGGTGGACATGTTTACTTCTTATTATTAATATTGTTAATTTAATATGCATGGGTTTTGCTGTTGGGGCCCACTTTACATCAGATTTGGCTATATATGTACTTTTACCAAAATGAGTCAAACAAGCCTAGTGTCACTACAAAGCTATAAATATGTCAATAGAAGTGCTATAAATATAATATTAAGATGACCAGTTTTGAGATATCCAGTAGGAAGCAAACGACTAAATTAGCACATAAAAAAAAGGTGTGTAAGTGCCAGAATGCAACAGTATGGCTTTATGTGCTAAATCCACTTTTAATTTTTGAACAATGTTACCATGAAATGTTCAAACCTCGGACAGAAAGGAGAAAAAAAAGGACTGAAAGGAAGGACGGAAAGATATCAAAGGGAGAAATTAAGGGACGTACTGTAGCAGACATGGGAGGAAAGGAACACAGACACCCACATGAGCAAACATAAACAGACTAAAATTATTATCTGTAAACAGTCACATTGCCTGTTAAAGCGAACTGTTGTTATTGTCAAAGGCAAAAAAGGAACAGAGAGGCACTTAAACATACAGCGATGCCAGTCTCGCCATCTGTGTGAAGCCACCCAGACTGTGTGTGTGTGTGTGTGTGTGCGTGTCTGTGGGCTCACTGCCTGCTGACAGCTTGTTCTTTCAGCTGGTGCTAAACTCCCACAACTTTTCTTTCCCTCCCTTTCCTTTCCCTTCGCAACATACCGTACACAGCACAGTGGCCTCTTTGGTAACTATAAACCTTCCAAGCTGTCTTTTCTGCATTCACAACGTCAACAGGAACTCTGACGTTATGTAACAGGGCTGAATGGTAGTGCAGTGGTTAGCAATGTCACCTCATACCAAGAACGATCCTGGGTTCGGACCAACCTGGCTTTCCGAGTTCACCCTGTGGATGTGTGGGTTACTGTGGATGTGTGGGTTACATCCAGGTGCTCTGGTTTCTGCCCAAAGAACTTAGAGACAGAGAGAAGATGCAGACGTGACAGTAGCTGATCTTCTGTAATGGACTGAAAAACCACGACTGTACATGTGGGTCCAATCCACTTGAATCCACTGATGTAATTAGGCCCCACAACCCCTGACATTGGCTGGTAGTTTTAAAAAAATTTTATTATAACATTTTCCAAGTAATATGAGGGGAAAGGGGCTTCATTAGTGTGAGGTTAAATATTCTCATGGTTTGCCTTTTGCTTAGTTTTCTTAGCATTTTGGATAAAAGTGTTATTTTGTGGGAGACAACATATTGGGCTTTGTCCTGGAGGGATGGTGTTGCCTTACAGCTAAATTTAGGTCTGGATATTTATGGACGGTGACACAATTTTCCATATTTTGCATCTGTACACCAGCAAAAATAGATTTGAGAGTCAAAGAGGGATGAATTACAACATTTGCAGGGAATCATTTCATACACGATCTCTTCATATAATATTTAAAAAGCTGCGCTCTTGTTCTTGACCCCTGCCGCACCATACCGTGCCATGACAGACCATACCAGACCACAACGATCCTTTCAATGATGAAGCAGTCAGTACTAACTATTGTATTCTGCTTGTAAGAGTTTAATTGCCTCAGTGTTTGAATGTCCTAATGAGCAGAGAAGTTCAAACTTCAAACTCAGCTCCCCCTCCCTTCTCCATGTCTCTCTCTCTATCTCATCATTATTCTCTCCATCCCACTGACCCATCTGTCTCCTCTCCCAGACGCTCCCACCACTCCCCCTCTTTTTCTCTTCCCTCTCCCTCTGTCTCTTTCTCTGCCTCCCCTCCTCCCTCACACTGACCCCTTTTGTTCACAGCTATTGGGTTTTGGTGGCGAGGGAGGGCAGAAGAAAGGGTCTGGTCAGCTGTTTCCTCGATATGTGCGCCTGTGTGTGTCTGGACAGTGTGGGAATGTGTGTGAGAAAAAGTTGCAGACAAAGCTTACTCCAGGCTCAGAGTGTGTGTGACGGCCGGTGAGGACACACATGGTGTTGGAGCATCCACGGGATATGTAGCTTGGAAAGTTTTGTTTTACTTTCTTTTATTTTTGTTGTTTTGGTTTAGCGTTGGTTTCTTACTTTTCCCTCAGTAGCAGATCTTCGGGATCTGTCCTCTGGAAATCAACCTTTTTTTTTTGTGAGGCTTGTTGAGTGACGAGACTATGCAACCTTCATCACAGAGTCACAACCATGACAACTGTGTTCAGACACAGTTGTGCGGTGAGTTTCTTATCTGAGATGAAAAGATGGATGTTATCAGATTCCTTTGTATGCACTAGAGTCTGATTTATTTTTAAGCAAGCACGCTTTAGTCTTTAAGTTCATTTTTCCTTTTAAATGCATGCGAATCAGCATATTTGCAGATAGTTGTAGATAGTTACATATGTATATATCTAAATTGTCAATTAAAGTTTTTCTTACATGTGGGAGTTTGCAGGTTTACTATGTGCGTCACTGCATATTAAAAATCTTGGAAATCTGGACAGTTGGTCAAGTGAAATGGCATTTAAATGCATCATCTCAGCCAACTTTAGGTTATGTTATTGTTGTGAAAATCCTTTTAATCCCAGGAAGTGTGCAGCTGCAAGTCTTACAGAAGTTTGTCCTAAGTGGTCTTCTGACCACGTTCCCTGAAGTTCTTTGGGGTCCTCTTGTGTATATAGACCAGCGGTCCCCAACCCCCGGGCCTCGGACCGGTACCGGTCCGTGAGTCGTTTGGTGCCGGGCCGCGATAGTTGAGGCTCAGGTGTGAAATGTATGGTTTTCAGGGTTTTTATCGGTTTTCAGCATTATTTTGTTATCGTTTTTATCGTTAACTCGGTTTTCCTGGGTCTTTTCAGGTGTGTTATGAATAAATCTTCTTTTTTTTCGGTACTGGTACTAGTTTCATTTTGTTGTATTTATCCGCCACACCTTAAGCCCGGTCCGTGAAAATAATTTCGGGCATAAACCGGTCCGTGGCGCAAAAAAGGTTGGGGACCGCTGATATAGACCATACGTGCTAAGCATAAGTGCCTAACAGAAGGGGAAGAATGATGCTTTTAATCATGGTTAAAATAAAATGTTCGATTTGTTTTGTTAAAAAACTGGTGCTTAGTTCCCAGAAACTAGTATATGTTTTAACTTTGGCTGTTCACTTCTATTGATTCTTTAAAACTCTGCTTCTCTATCAAACAGTTCTGCGCGTCTCTGAAACTTTCTTTTTTTGCTTTAATATGTCAGTGTAGCCTGTGAGCTAATATAAATAAATGTGATAAAAAGTAATACGTGAATGAATCCAGCGATACAGGAGTCATCTGACTCTATACTTCTTCATCTTCTGTGATGGTTTACTGGTAAGAGGAACTCAAGACTGTGAGAACTGGTGTGGACTGTGAGAAAAACAGAATGCAGTGTGTGTGTGTGTGTGGGCAGGGGGTGTGCAGGGGAGGGTTGGTTTGTTGTCTGCTAGTTACTTTATGCTCTTGTGTCTGACTTGGCCCTGACCTCTGCCTGCTCCCTGTGAAAAAAACAAAACAAAAACAAAGTGTGAGAAAAAAGCCTCCGTTTCTGTGTGTGTGGATAATGGCAGTGCTGATGATGGGGGAGGTGGGGCAGGGTTGGGGGGTATTTAAAGCAGGCTGTCTCTCAACAAAGGTGGCCCTGTCTGTCAGCCTGGCCTCGGCTGGCTGTGTGTGTGTGTGTGTGTGTGTGTGTGTGTGTGTGTGTGTGAAACACCCTGACCTGACATGAGGACTATATCTTTCTCTGTTTTTTCTTCTAATAACATCAATTATACCAGCCTGCTTTGAATGTGTGTTTTCGTATTTGTTGAAGTCATTTTTAACCACGAATGTGATGAAGCACTCCAAGTAGTACTAAAAAAACAAAAAAGATGATGAACTCATATATTTTACACAGTAATTATTGGGTATATGTTGCAATACTGTTTCATGTACTTTAGCTCTCTCCATGTTGTTTGACCTCAACTACCAACATCCCCAATGATTAAATGGACAATACTATTTTTCAAATCCAGCCACGAGTTATTTTGTTATTATTATCATTAGTATTTCAGTTGAATAACTAAATCAGGATGTACAACAGTGTTTTGTTTCTGTGAAAGCCCTGAACTTTTGAAATGTGTATTTTTTGTTGCTTGGAATGAGACTAGAGAGCCGTGATCTGTTATTGCCCTAAAACGTAATAAGAGGATGGTGATTATGTTATCTGAGGCAACTATACAGGGGATGAGGCCTTTGGCCATCTAAAAAGTCTCTGACAATGATTGAATTTTCCAATAAATAAATAAATAGAAATATTAGATCTTCAAATATAATGCAAAATAGGCAGATGCCATCATACACTTTTCATGTCCTTGCAAGGCCTGACCTAACGGTGTTAATGCGACTGTACCATCATCAGGGTTATTGTACGAAGAGCCACAGAGGACTGTTTTCTGCTTTCTTGAGACTCGTACTTATGTCAGTCTTTGTTTCTCTGTCACTGCAGCCCAGCTGGAGTTCGTCCAGATTCTGGTGATCGTAATAGTCATGATGGTGATGGTGGTGGTCATCACCTGTCTTCTCAACCACTACCGCCTATCAGCACGCTCCCTTCTCTCCAGGCACACCCCTACACGCAGGAGACACCTGCCACTGGCCAACGTAAGTCAGACTTATGCCAGGACTGCATGATGATGTGTTGCACAAGCTATGCACTTACAGTAGCTCATTCATTATGTGTGCAAAACTTTTTATTCAGTTGGGTTTACATACATGTTGCTGCTAAAAAGGTAACACAGTTCTGACACACCGAGCAAAGAAGAGAAAATGTATTTTAAGGCCTGTAGTTCACTGTTTTCTTTCATTTCAAAGAAATTCATTTTATTCAACCTCAATACACCAAAATGTGCACTTGTATCCAGACTATAGAATAGAATAGAATAGCCCTTTATTGTCATTGTACATGTACAATGAAATTATGGGTGCTCTGTGCAGGAATTAAATATAAATGATAAGACAGGAGGAATAAATAACAAGCAGGAGAAACATTTACAAAACAGTAGAAAGGCAGACATTGGAGAACAAAGTGCTTGAAAGTAGTGCAAAGGGCTCGGTCAGAGTATAGAGTCCATGTGTGAGTCGCCTGAGTGATGAGAGTTACTCAGACCATGGCTCAGATTGGTGAGATGAGTGGGCGGGGGGCGGGGGTGCGGCAACTTTGCTTACCTACTGCATCACTACACCGCTCATTTTTCCATAGTGCCTTTACATAGCTTAAACATACACGTGCTTCTGTGTCAGAGACAGATAAAGTCGGTTTGAATATGTGGAGCAAACAGAAAATGAAAAGTTGTAAATGGTGGCAGATATTATGTAAGATAAATGAATTCATTAATTGAAGAAATAAAATAGCACAGTCTGTTTAAGACATGGAATAAAGTTAGTGTCTCGACAGGTGAAATTTTATTTTCCAGTAAAGCTATCCAACTTTGCAAGGTTATGAACAAGATATATGTAGGGAGAGAGAGAGAGAGAGAGAGTTAAAGAAATATATGAAAAATGAACGAAATGATTTATAAAGACAAATAGATAAAACATATAACAAACCCCTCAACCACGCTGACCTTTTATAGTTACAGTCATTCATCTTTATAAACAGACTTCCGTGGAGGAAGTTAGCATCTGTTTCAGACAGTTTCACAATAAAAGCAGTTTCAGAGGCGTGCCAACTGGCCGCATGTGATCACAGTGATTAAACTGTGCTGCAGGCTAACGCTAACGCACTGACTCATTTCTTCATTAAGGGCCATGGCGACTTGCCGATGTCTATTTGAAGAACACGCACCGACTTACACCTGAGGCTTCCTCAAACATATGACTTCACTAGTGCTGCCTGAATCACCTTCCACTGAATCACTGTCTGTGTGTGTATCTGTGTGGCTTCAGTTTCAGTTTAAAATATGAGTAAAGAATGAAGCACAAACATGCACATACACACACACATAGAGCTCCTTATAAGCTCAGGGGAGTCATAGTGTCCTAGTTAATTTGGATTAGCAAACAGACATGGTGACACACATGCAGCCAGACAAGGAGGCAAGAAAACTGTCACCAGAGAGAGTATATATTTTTTTACAAAAGTTGGAAAAGTTCCTCTCAGACTTTTTTTTAAAGAAGCAAAGAACTACTTTTGTCTTCTCCTCACTACAAGCGGTGACACCGAAGGCATCGAGACACCCTCTAAAAATCAGTTTGAGCTCAAAGTATTGTTCAGTCCATTATAGATTCATGTACACTCTTAATTTCAACGTTTTTAGTCATACTTGTGTTGGGCAATGTTGTACCAAACTATATGTGCTGCTGATTTTAAATGAGCACAGAAAAAATTTATACTTTGTTAACTGAATGTGAAGCTTACAGTGTCAAATTATGCACATACATTACACAATACAGCTCATATATTAACTGTAGGAAAAGGTCAAACACAGGGTAAAAGGTACAACGTTTTACTGGAGAAGACAGTATTAAGCAGTATAACCTAGATTTAAAAATACTTTAATAGCAGGGATCATAGTTAGCTTCACACTTTTGCACAGACAGGTTTATATAAACAGAGTCCTCTAATAAATAACACGCACTCATCCATCCATCCAGTAAAGTTTGAGCAAACAATAAGAAGTGTATCAGTACCAAGTCTCATGTTCTATGTTTGGGGAAAGGCGATCGCAGTGGAAAGTCTCTGTGACAGTGTTTAAAACAAGAACTAATATATGACAGGAAGTTACAACCACTCATCTCTAAAAATTACACAGCAGTGTTGAAATCATTATTAGCAGCAGTGTATATTCCCGTTCTAGTATCTATGTCTTAACCAGCTCAATTTTATTGAAATTTGAACTATTACAAATCAGATGAATAAATTATACTTTTAAATAGTCCTAAATGTGGTTTGAGGTCAGCCAGCAGATGAGTGGCTAATGCGCCAACCACAAGACCTGCTTCCCTGCCTACTGAGTGTTTACACCATGCAGACATTCTCATGCTCTTCTTCTCCACATTTTCTTTTGCTTACTGCTGTTCTTTGCTAATAGAGATGCAAACTGCGAAAAAAAATTAAGAATTATTTTTATTATTTAATTACATAAATTGACTTTTTTGCACACAGGAGGGAAGTCTGTGGTCCTCTGAGGGAACAGGCACAAACAGTGGTCTAAATGAGGTGAGTGCTGCTTCAACCAGTGGTGGTCTTCGAGTTTGATTTAGTACAAAATTCATTTAAACCAACATTAGTTAGAGGCACAGCAGTAATTAAATATCTCTCCTCACACAGCACCAGGTGTATAACACCCACCCCCCAGAGAGAGGGGGCTCTTCCTATATACAGCGGGAAGTACAGCACAGCCACTCCCAGCCTCCGCTGCAGCCCCAGCGCTTCCAGCACACATACGCCCCGAGTCGCTTTCAGCCAACTTATCCCTACCTGCCTCAGAGCCTCATCGATCTTCCCCCCACCATCTCCCTCTCAGATGGAGAGGAGCCCCCGCCGTACCAGGGGCCCTGCACCCTGCAGCTCAGAGACCCCGAGCAGCAGATGGAGCTGAACCGTGAGTCGGTCAGAGCGCCACCCAACCGAACAGTATTCGACTCCCACCCTCTCGATCCATCCAACTCCTGTCTGCAGGCCAGGTAACAATGAGCAAGTCTGTGGTCTGTTATTGTGTTTTGGATCACTCACTTGTCGTTGTGTTGACTAATTCCAGTGTTAAGGATTTTTATCAGAGACTTATCCAGCTTATAAAAGGCGTCATAGAAATGTTTATGTTCTTTGTACTAACTTTGTACTAACTGTGAATAGATGTACTGCACAGTAAAGGAGAAATGGAGTGTAAGTGGAAAAGGAGACTAAGAGCTTTAGACATCCTGTCTTCACAGCCTAATGTTTAATTATGTTTCATTTTCTGTAATTATGATGCATTATAAGGTTATAAATGCAGAAATTCGATTAGCTGAAAACCTACAACAAATCATTTTTTATCTGCCATCATCTTGTCTTCATCGGTTTTATTTATTCATTCATTTATTTTGCTCTCAGACTGCAGGCCCCCCCTCCAAGTGTCCATTCAGGCATCAGTGTGTTGGAAGCCCAGGAGACTTTGTCCAGGCATCAGAAGCAGGGCTCTCGAGTGGAAGGAGCTCCTCCAGCCTACAGCGAGGTGATTGGGCACTACTACCACCCAACATCTGTAACCTCCAGCCATAACAATCGGACTGTGATATCCTCACAAGCACCACCTGCCTCGCTCATACAAGGCCTGCTCCGACCTCCGCATCAACAGCAAGGAAGCGTGGACAACAGGAACACAAGGAATACAAAGGAGAAATCCCAGAAACCCCAGCAGGTGTGACAGTGCTGCTCTCTGCTTCCAGTGAGAAAACCGGGATTACATCTGCTCACCACTGAAGTAATGACCGGTGGAGAATGATGAAAAGTCACGAAGTTGTTAAAATCCACTCTGAAGGGTTTAAGAGCTGGTTAGTTTTAGTTGTTGCAGGTCAGTTTTGCAGTTTCCCCACTGGCTTCTCTGGGTAAGATAACCCAGAACCACGTTGCTCCTGCAGAGCACAGTCGCATGAACATCTGGCACATCCTGTTCTGCAGCTTCCTACTTCATGTCTTCTGATGAACCATTGATGTCAGAAAAGAGAGGAAGATTTAGAAGGGAATGAGATGGAAGCAGATGATTCTTTCCCTTAACAAGTCCTCTTCATCTCTCTTCTGTCAGACTGATGTGTGTAATCACCTTTCACAATGAATATTTACTTGGTCTGTTTTTTTCCGTTGAACTTTTTCTTTATCTTATTCACACATCCATGAAAATTCCTATCCAAGCAAATGGCGAAATGTTACAATCTTCTTGGTTCTTCCATTTGTAGGATTTCTTTTTTTTAAATGTGATAATCCCCCACCACCACGCTGCTTGTGTCCATTTAGTCCATATTCAAAACTCCACTTCTGCACCAGGCTTTAGCCACATCGCTGGGACATTTTAGCACACTCGCTTATTCCGCGAGTTGTAGCACAAGGCTAAAAGTTCTGCCTTACATTTCCTAAGCGATGCAGGAGTTGCCACTGAAATGCTTGTTTCTTTTTTTTCCTTTTTAAAAAAAAAATGTATGTTCTTTTTTTTTAAAGAACGCTTGCACAAAGTTCAAGACTGTTCACCGGAAAAAAAGAATAATCCGCAATATGATCGAAAAGAGACAGAAAGTAGGGAAAGTTTGGGTATTTTTCTATACTTGATGGATTCCTATGAGTACATTTTTTGTGTTGCTTTTGTTTAGTGTTTTTTTTTTTTTACTTGCTGTCTAGTTTTAGAAAAAAAAGATACAAACATCAGTAATCGGTTGGGGTGCCAACTTTTCACCTTTTGCAACGTACATGTTGACGTGTATATACGTCACACATGGAGCATATATACAGACACATGTATGCAAACCTAGAGTGAAAAGCACGAATTTAAAGTTATTTATATAATTGCTGAAAAGAATTGCACTATTTTTTAGTATGCGCCAATGGAACGTTTTTGGGACTTTTATTTTGAAGGAGCTCTGTCTATTGCGGCATAAAAACAAGAGAGAAGCAAGAACATGGTGAGTGAGGCTCAGACCGAGCGGTGCACAGCAGCTGCTATCATGATAAATGTAAGGGGAGGTTCTGACTTTGGCCCAACGGACTCGGATTAACCGTTACTGTACCATTGATAAAAATGAATAAATAATCGTTGGTTTATGCAAATGTCTGAGTCCCGCGAGCCAGCCACAAGTCAGCATCCAACCTGTGGGTCCAATCAGAAAGTCTTAACTCTCTCTCATCCTATTGGCCGAATCATTAGCCAATCCCAAAGCTGGCTATTACTACCTCGACCAAACAAGCGAAGCACATTAGAGTTTATTCATGTTAACCAGACACAACAAATGTCTGGACTAATCGAGACAGTCTAATGTAACAATAGATGTTAACTAGAGTAGGATGTCGTAGACTTAGTTTTTAATCCTGTTATTTTATTTGAATGTCAGATATTTTTATTCATTGGATGAGAAGAGAGAAAACAAACCAATGACACCCCCCTTGTAGTGTATTACTCAGGAAGGAAGCCAGTCACCCAGCAGGTCCTGAATATCTGATGCACTGACTGTGCACCACTTTGGTCACCCATGCACCCAAAAGACCAAATTTTCTGGTCACGTACCGCTGGTTCCTTTGAATTATAGAATCTCTCCCACGTTTTCAACCCATGTATACACTCTGCTCTCTAAGTTTTTCTCTCTTGCAGGCCACTCTGAGCACTTTATTGCACCAGGAAAGAGACAACAATCTTCTGTCAGCCAGCGCCGACCAACCAACCAATAAAGCTTAAACACAACGGTAGAACCTTTTAGGTTTTTAGGTTCAGATTTAGATTCTCCAACTACTAGTGATGCGCTTTTAAAGAGATGCAAAGAGTTGTGGACCAAAGCTTTTAACATTTACTGGAATAAAAAACAACTTTATTTATCATTTTGAGATTGAAGAACTTTAAGACATACGGACTTTAAATCCTCAACTATCCTTCTACAGGTCTCCATAAAACCAGCTGAACATGTACTTTAACAAATATATTCTATAATTAGGAGAAATTTTTTAATTTTCTTGTTTATAAACTCATTCTTTTAAGCTTTGGACTCAAACTCTTTGAGTGTTGAATGCAGCACAAGGCTGGTTGTTGAAACTAGACACACTGAAGTGTTGAAAAGTGGCACGAGTGTTAATAGCAGCCCGTCTTGTGTCATCTCATTAAGAGTGCAGAATTAATAGAGTTGCATTAGGTAGCTGATTGAGCTACTTGATCAGTATTTGTAGTTTTTGTATTTAAAACTGCTGCTTGATCCAGACAAAATCAGCGCCCTCTAGTGTCCAGCCTTTATGCAACAGCGCCCTCTTCAGGGACTGAACCAAACTGTAGCCAAATCTCCTGAGAGACAGTCTGAAGGCTAAAACAATACATTTTATAATCTCATATGGTGAATCTTTCATTTTTTGTCTGTACTTTCCTTCCATGGTGAGTCACAGCAGCATCTATCAACTATCGTGATAAAAAGAATTCAATCTGCTGAACTTGTTCCCCAGTATAAACCTTGTTTACAGGGACAGTTTGGCCCAAAGGTAAATTTATTTATTTTCCCAATTTTTTTGTATTCATTCCTATCCAACTGGATTGTGTTGAACTGGTGTGTGAATTGCCCAGTTCTGGAGAAATCAGCTACAGCGATGCCTGTGTTCTCTTTAATATAATGTAAGTAAATGGCAATTTCTGCTTGGGGTGCTTAAAGTGCCAAAATGTGAAAAAGACGGCAGCAGTTTCTCTTTCCAGAAATTGTGACCTGTTTATTCAAAAAATAAAAAATGTAAAAATCCACAAACCTTACAGTGAGCCATTTCATGCAGGAACTCTTTAGTTCGTACCGATCCGCAATTTTGAAAAATGTCCATGTGCAGAAGAAAGCAACCATGTGCGTGTGATGAAAGGCTCTTGCTGGTGGGAGATTGAATGGATGTCCCTCATTTGACCTGTAACATCAGGTAGCTGCACAGGTGCGAGGGTGTCTTTTGGTTTGAAGAAGATATTTCCTGCATGAAACTGCTCACAAAAATGTTGGTGGATGTTTTTTGATTAACAGCTTCACAATTTTTGAATGAGGCATTGCTGCAGAATATTTCAGATGTAATTTTTGGTGCTTTGAGCTCTTCATAGTAAATGCCATTCAGTTCTATTCCATTAAATAGAACGGTGACATTTCCACATCCAAAAACTTCAAAAATGAGTGTCTCACAAAAAAAAACCCATAGAAAACTGTGTAAATTTGATATTAATGTAAATTCTTATTTTAAGTTGCTGGATACAAACTAAACGTTTACAGCTTGATAGATGGATTGGATGTGTTTATGCTAGTCTTGTTTCTCGTCATTTTATCATCGCAATGATGCAGTCTTGTGTTCTATAGCAAACTATAACATTTCAAATCATAAAACAGATTGAAAAGACTCTTCTAGCTGATTAGAAAAGTCTTTGATGATGTTAGAAAGATCTTCAAAATATCTTGTAGCATTACTCGGCAAACTACTAAATCTGAAAACACTGAATTCCTCTCAAAAAGTAAAGACAAAAAGTGAGAAAAAAGATTCGCCCTCCCATCATCTTTTAAGTTTGTAGCTCTCTGTAGCCCCAAAAGAAAGATGATTGGCTCATTTAAAAAAAATTATTGTAATAATAATAATAATAATAATAATAATAATAATAATCTTTGATCTTGTAATGAGGTTAGCAGCCTGGTTCTCAGTCCTAAGGTACTTTGAACTATTTTTCTGTTTCATACTTGTTTTTGAACAGAGTTGTTTCCTTAAATGGTTTCCTTTCCTGCACCAGAGGGCTTGCAGCGGGTATGAGAAGGCTGGCCAGGCTCTGACCACAAATATTAGTGATAGGAACTTAAAAAATGTATAAGGAAGTTGGAAAAATGTGTAGAATCAATCTCTTATTTCAGGGGAAAACCCGGGCTGGCTGACAATACAAAATAAGACAGGAGGAGAAAGAGGGAAAAGTCATTTGGAGGCTGACAGGAAGAACAGATCACACATTTATACACAGCTGCTAATACCCTAGCGCTGCCTACATCTAAAGACTGGTGTGTTTACATGCAGTTGTACTTGTTCACCAGTGTTTGTGAGCTTTTCTTTAACTCTCAATTCTATTTATTTATGTTTCTTTTTAAAATTCAGTTCGATTTGAGTCACATAAAAGAGAGATATTAAACCAATCAATGCTCAGATCACATAGTTTTTGTTGCTTTAATCCATCGTGGAGATACTGAAAGTGTTAGGAGATCACTGTGTGTGTGTGCGTGCGTGTGTGCAGTTAATGTACACCCACCTGCCCTGGGAAAGACCTCCAGCTGTCTAGACAAAAACTAAACACATAAAGGCACACACAGAGCAGACTAAACAAACTCACCGAAGAACCAAACGCCTCACACACACACAGACACACACACACAATAAACACACACGCACACACACTGAGGTTTTTGTTATTGCGGACCACACAAGGTAGCAAAAACATTTATTTCACACACCTTGATTGCCTCTCCCCTCCCTCTCCCTCTTCCTGTCTGAACGAGCTCTTCCTGTTCCCTAGAGATGGCCGCTGTCCAATGACAGAGCTCCTTTCAGAACCGGCCCTCGCTGCCGCTGGGTCAGCGGTCTTTGAGTCTCCTTGGAAACGTTCGTTGTTTGTTATTGTTGCTATGTCGTACAAGTGTGCCTGCCTGCGCTGAGACGGGCAAAATGTGAGTGGCTAGTTTGGGCTGTCAATCATCCCAGGCCACACTGTCTCAGATGATGACGATGAATAGATGATGGTGATGAGATTGTTGCTGTTGGTGATGATGATGATGATGATGATGATGGTGATGAAGATAGATGTTTTTGGTAGTGACACCGCAAAGATCGTTGCAATACACCTACTATTTGCCTTTTTGATGATATTAGTCATATTTTAACGTAGTGTGCTAAATGTCAGTTTTTTTTATTGTTGTTGTTGTTGTTGTTGTTGTTGTTGTTGCTGATGATGTTTATTCACTTGAGAACAAAAAGATTTAACTTCAATTCAAAAGTTCATATCATTAAAAAATGTGTTTGTTTTTTTTTTTCATTTTGTAAACATCGAGAGTGTAAAACTACCTAACACACAAAAACTGCAGATTTCTGGGGAGGATGTGTAAATACAAGAAAATGTACTTCTGCTTTTAAGTGCCCTTTTTTAAAGTTTAAAGTTGTCAGTGTGCAGCTGTCTGAAGAGCAAACCGGTGCGATTGGTGCAGGGATCGACGCCACAGATCCCCATCAACATCCCTTGAGATGAGCTTATGTTAAAGCTAGCTAAAGTTCCCTTTTATTGGAACCTTTTTGAGCACATTTGTATCACGCACTTATAAGTTCCAAGTATAAATCTTCATGTAAGCACCTAGTCCTCGTAACCCACTAATCATTGCGTCTCCTTACTCGACCCAGTGTCTAGATGTGTGCCTTCTGGTGTCCAGCATGATCGGAGACTTACACTTAAAAAAATCCTTTACTGTTGCCTTTCAACGCAAAACCTCGGACAGCACAAAATCTTAACACGTTACAGCCGTGACGTATGGAAGCCCAGTCAGGCCAAGAAAAAAAAATGGAGGGAAAAAAAAACAGTCAGTGTTTCTAAGCTAAAATGGACCAAAAGTCCTTAAAATACTACAAACAAATAACATGTGGAAAAGCAGATATCTGCAAATCCTGTGTGGTTGCTTCTATTGTTTTTATATTATCATTCCAACTTCTCTTCCCTTTTCTTTTTCCTGGTAAAGCTGGACTTCTATAATCACGATATTAGAAGCTAAATTTGTGAAAACAAACAGAAAAGTGTCTTTCACATTACTGTTGCTGTTGCTGCTCTATATGTTTGGAACTATAACTAAAACAAGCTGAAATTAATGCTTTTCTTCAGAAATTTAATGAGACGCAGTATTTGCTTTTAACATTTCTGACTGCTTGCAAAGAATCACACACCACACAGTCCAGATTCATATGTGACATTATTTAAGACATCTCCAAAGACGAAACCACTGTAAAGAAAAAAACGTTCAGTCAAGCTTGAACTTTTTGTTTTCGATTTTGGGGAAAAATCTTTTTTTTTTTCCTCCAGTTTTTGCTACATGTTTGATCAGTTTTAAAAGAAAGGATGATTTAAGTAACACAAGTAGACTGGCGGACGGCATACAAGCAAACCATTTTCTCCCTTCATATTTCTGTATCATCGCATTTTTCTCTGCTTGCTCTGCTCTTTTAATCAGCGCTGTGTGGCGCCTTTCCTCTGACAATGTCGAAGAAAAAGTATACAAAAGCACTCTTGTTCGCAGTTATGTTATGTGTTCATATTTAAATAAGCCTCTGTATCTTACACCGCAGTGACTATTGTAGAAGTCTTCCACCTGTCCTTGAGTTTTATCCTGCAAGCATGTAAACTGTGGGGCTTGTACAATAGACCAGTTTGTTCTGGTAAGGATTCCTACGTGCAGCTGGTGCAGATGTTTTAGAAAAGCATGATAAAATGCTGCGATTGTGTCCAGGGAAGTAAAACTGCACACAAGTAATCAGCAGCTTTGGAGTGAAATCTTCACTCAGGACCAGATGTCAGATAAAAATGTGGGAACTGCGATCTGTTCTCTGCAATGCTGGGTTTCCCATCACTCAAACGTAGCACTGGGTTCATAAAAAGAATGAACATGGAGCTGAGGGTTTAACTTCAATCTGTTATCTGTCACAGCATGGCTCATGCACTTATATAGAGGCCTGCTTATTCTCAGTGATAATAACTGCTTATTTGTGTATTAAGACAGTTTATTTTAATTTATATTGGATGGTCTATGTGTTGCTGGGTTTGCTATGTTGTTATTTTCTTTTCTGTTACAAAATACAAGACAATGGTTTATTGTTGTTGTCACAGAACATGAATCAGACACATTTCAGTTAGCCTTCGATTTAAAAAAACAAATAAAAAGTTTTATAAATTCACCCGAGTCTCGTCTGCTTATTTATTTTGCATTTAGTAATTGTTGGAGGCTTTCCTTTTTTTGTTTTTGCAAGAAAGGAGCCTTTGACACACATTCATCCACCACACAGACACACACACACATGCACAGACACTTTGTACACATACAAGATTTGGTTTGTATGCACATTTCAAAAAGCTGCTGGGAACATCCCTTAGATTAGCTCCTGTTCCATGCTGATGTGATAGCATCATGCAGCAGATCTGTTGACTGTACTTTGATTCGGGCTGAAGCATTGATCTGACAGAAGGTACTCTGCAACATGGATGATTGGTTTTGTGATATTTAAACTCAAATATGATCCTACTGTCATCGTGTGGCATCCAAATTAGCAAAAAAATTATCATAACTTTTAAATGTTGTGTGACTCTTGAAACACATTTTATTTTCATCTGCAGAGTTAAGTTGCTGTAAATATTTATCCAGCAGATGGCGCACTTGAATTAGAGTTCAAGGCTCAATGGCCACATCATGGTTATGATTGTTAGATTTACTTCATTTCTAGTTATTAGTGTTTAAGGGGTCAGTGTTCACTGATCTGGTCCACCAGGGAGACTCGGGCCTTTTGATTGTGTTGTTTGTATTTGTTGAAAATACATGAAAGCACAGAAAGGAGGAAGTGTGTCCGACTTTTTGTAAAAATGTTATTTTTTGGACTTTGCATATTAGTAAAAACGTGAGATACTCTGAACATGCTGTGTCTGCTGCATGATGGCACTGTGAAAATATGTTGTAAATAAAATGCCTGTGCAGGTTTTAAGACAGTTTAACGGTTGGGTTTCCTCACTTTGGTGCTCTGCTGTTTTACATTCACTATCCTTGCTATTAAGGTTTTCATTTGGGTCTTTTAAATTAAGCTGCAGAAAGCGCCCTGAGTGTTTTGGCTGGAAATGTGTTTGTCTGTTTTCAGTTTTTAAAAAGTACCAGTGTCAGGATCACCAAAGCCAGGAAGGCCTGATGGCGGATGAGAATTCCCTGCGGAAGACCACCTTGCCTGTTGAGGTGGCTCCGACGGGCCTTTTGCACTCTCCATTATAAAGAAAACAAAAACATGACAAAACAAGTAAGCAAACAAAATATGCATTCATTCCTCAAATTAACTTGAGCCCCTAAATTAACTTGAAGGCTCAAAATGAACATTTTTGTCATTGCCATCTTGATGTTTTAAAACCAAATGCACAACTGAATATCTTTTTGCAACCTGAAAAGTGATCCTTGCTGACCAATAGAAAGAATGCAGTTTTAAGGCATCCACCATGCATGGTTAGACTATAAACATTTGTAATTATTTACAATGTCATCAATTATTCAGACATTTATGTAATACAAGTAGCAATAACACACATTCAGAAACGCCTGTCTACAAGTAAGACACACTTTGAGACTTGATCTCAAAAACTGTGAGACTTGACATGAACATATCTGTATTTACATGCTTCACCTGTGCATGTTTGAAATTAATTAAAAAAAATGTTTGGATAAAACATTTAAAAAAAAATTGTATTTAAATTGTGTAATGTGAAACCACTGCAGAGGCACCTTAAATCTGCATTCATTTCTGTTAGGCCCTGTTAGTACTCTTGTGGCATTGTGTATTAACTGAAGGCTTTTAGAACAGCAAGATAGGAAGGGGTTACAATTGTCCAGCCTTGAAGTGACAAATGCATGAATCAATTTTCCAATGTCACTCTTGGACAGGATGTTTCTAAGTTTTTGAACATTGCTCTAATGATAGAAAGCAATCTTACATATTTCCTTGAAGGACATATCCTGGTCAAAACTGATGAGAAAATATTCCTCACAGTTTTACTGACGAATAAGGTAATGTCATCTAGGGTGAGCATTTGGTTGGACACCATGTTTCTAAGATTTCATGGCCAAATACAATAACCTAGACTGATTTGATGCTTGAATTTATCTGAATTTAATTAAGACCCACTTGGTCTTGTTGTTTGAAAGCCTAACTTAGCTGCACAGGAGGACTTGAGACTTGATTGGGTGAGGCTAAAATGAGGGTAAACTTGAAAATGCACTAAACTTGTCACAGTCGACATTAAAGGCTCAGCTCTGCCCTTTGATCTGTGGCTGTCAGCTGTCAGCCTCTTGATCATTGAGTGACTTCCAGCCAGATGAACCTGAACCAGTTACTGAACAGATTCCAATGACTCAACAACTTACATTAGATTACACTCTTTTCTGTTCCTGCCAAGTTTCTACATCAGCTCTCACCTCATACTGCAGGGTCATCCATTCTCCTATCTCTCTTTCTCTTTCTACTATCTGTCTTGCTACACACTTGGCAGTCAGCCTACTGAACAAACACTATTCAGTTTGTTTTATGGCCTACGAGAGCAGAAAAAGGTTGAATGAGTTACGGGTGCATCGTAAAATGAAGATGGAACAATGAATGAGGTGATGAAGAAATGAGGGTTGATTACTGAACGTCATTCCAGGGATCATGTAAGGATCATTTGAGTGAATTCACAAAACTATTTTCTCCTTTCTTCTTTCGTCGTTTATAGCAAGTCATTTAAAAAAACATCAAAGATCAATTTCTGACAGGAGGCATAAATTTATTTTTGATCTTTCTCCTGTGTTTTTTCTTTTTTTCCCTGTGGTACAACTTGTCGAACGAGGGTGGAAAAAGCAGCAGAGTTGCAGTGATGTGAAAAAGGGAAAAGCTGCACTATATTCTTATACCAACTTATTTAGGCACTTTAACACCTCAACAAAGAAACTTTGAAATCTGTTTGCAGAATTTAGCAGAAGGGAGTTCAAGTTGTCAACTTTGCTTTGGCATCCTCTCATTGAGCCATTTATGTTCAAAAGACTAATGTAGCTTATTAAATGATCTGGATGCTGTTCATAAAATTAAGTTGATATTTTCAGCCTATTTCCATTCATCTGTTGTCCAGCTTTGCTCACTCTGACACAATTTACTATTTGTAGCTGTAGCTTATTTGCTACAAGGTCTGATGTCGATGTCGAGGTGTGGAGATGCTCTTCTGTGTATCCTGGTTTTTACAAGTGGTTAGATAGCATCTACAGATGCCGTCAATGCAGAAATTAACTACTGAATTCACTATAAAGGACCACTGAAAAGAATTAAAGCTGTCACAAATTATGAGGCTTAAAAGACATCCTTGGGTCTGAGGGTTAAAGAAATGACTCACACACAATGCCTGGAAGGCATGAACTGAAATTTAAAGTACAGTACTGTAAAACATGATATCTTGAACCAAGAAAACAGCATTTGAATACCTTATCGTCATCCATCTAAGCAAATCGAATTTTCATGATGGAGTCTACAAATGAAACTGGGGAGGTTATGTGGGCAGATGTTGCATGCGAACTGGACATTTCAGCAAAACGTAGAGTCATCGGAATTCCCTGTGAGCACGGACCAATCACTGCGCAGAGGCATTCCTGCTGACGTCCAACAGAGAGGGTGAGTGGCCCAGCAGTGATGTCACTGTGTCATCTGTGCAGCCACCAAACAAGAACACACACAAAACTGATAAGGCCTCACCTCCGCTCTGATGCTGCTACTTGTCATTGTGTAACTGTATTTTTTGTCACTCTGGCTCAGTTTCTATCACATTTTTAATGTTTTCTATTTGGTATATCCATTAACATTGGACAATTGATAAATATTTTTATTGTTATTTATATTTTATATACAGATCCTGTTGTTAAAAAGGGAAGTTTAATTCTGTTTTTCAAAACCTAATATTTTCAATATGCTGTAACAGCCCAAAGCAGACTGAAGACACAGGAGTATAAAGGTACATACTGAAGATCTAGATCACTAAATCTTTTTAGCAGACACTTACTGGAGGGAAAATCTATGGTGTGTGTGTGTGTGTCTTGTGTGTGTTGTTGTGTGTGTGTGCGTGTGTGTGTGTGTAGTGTGTGTGTGTGTGTGGTGTGTTGTGTGTGTGTGGCGTGTTTGACGCGCGTGTGTTTTCATATCCTTGAGGGGACATCTAATTGATATAATGTCTTTCACTAGCTGTTCACCCTAACCCTATCTATAACTCTATGACTATTGCAACCCTGACACTAAAGCCACATTTTGAGTCTCAAAAATGCCTTCAAACTAGCAGGGATGTGGATTTTGTCCCCATAAGGATTGTTATTCCCCACAAGTATAGTAACCTTTCAATTGTTTCATCCCCACAAAGATATAAAAACATAGCATGGGCACACACCCGACTGTGTGTTTGTGTGCTTGCAGCAATCAGTTCAACAGAGCTATTTATGTCTTGTTTTTGGACATGTGTGGAGCTTGTCAGTACAGAGGAATAAGGTAAAAACTTCCAGCAGGTGAACTGAACAGAACTGATCCTCATTATGACATATTAGCTATATACATTTACCATATACATATAACATACATACATATACCATGCATATACATATACATTTACCTTATTCTGTGAACTTCATCTGCCCACATCCATCAGTGAGCCTAAAATATGTTGTTGGCTTGTGGAGAGAAAATTAAAAGTGAAACCCAGAACCTTCATGAACCTTCTTGATGGGAGGTGACAGGGTTAGGCATCATTCCATCATGAAACCCAGTGAGTCTAACTATGGGTCTTAGTTCAGATGTGAAGCAAAGTTTCAAACTCTTTTCTTTGTTTTTCTTTTTGTGTCTGCAGTGAAGTTGAAACACTGACAATAAGCTAGTCCTCCATAGCAGACTGTTAGTGGCTCATCCACAGTCTCCTCTCAGCTGGCTTTTACTTCACATTTACAGCATCGTCTATTCTCCTCTGTTTGTGTCACCTGGCAAAATTTTGTGTCAGTCTGCGTCTTTGCAGAACTTTATTTATTCATGCCATGCAAAAACTCTGCAAGCTGCATGTTTAAAGTTAACAAACCAAACAACAAACAACTCTGACTACAAATTTAATATGCACTGTAAAGTTTTTTAACATATCAGCAAACTATGTGGAA